TCATAATCCGTTAACATCGTTGCGGGACAATTTTGTCTTAAAGAGAAAGTGCTAATCACTTACCTCGGATTTCTTTTCATTCTCTTTCTTTCTTTCCTCTTATAATTTACATAGTTTAATTACGCTCCTATTAATTAAACTTAACAATTAATTTGTCAATTAAACAAACAACCATTTCGCTAAGCAATTCACTTACAATTTTTAAGACAAAAAAATTTTGTGGTTGTTTGTTGAAAACTAATCACTCATCTTCATCTTTGGAATAAACATTCTTGTGTTATTCCTTTCTTTCATTTTGTGCGTTGAACTTCTGTTTGTAACAGAAATGAATACTGTTGATACTACTTTGAGTCGAACAACTAATGGTATGAATCATGTGGTTCCGCCTTTGGCTATACCTATGCCAAACTCTCATATTCCACATGGGGAAAATTGGAAAAGTTTGGAGTGTGGACTTTAAAAGATGGCAACAAAAGATGTTCTATTTTACTACTTTGAATTTGACAAAGTTCTTAAAAAAAGACAGCTCATGCAGTACAAGAAGGAGAAAATAATCATGAGTCAATTATTGCATTGGATGCATGGAAGTACTCGAATTTCCTTTCAAAAATTACACCCTAAATGGATTGGACAATGCACTTTATGAGGTGTATAGTTTGATGGACTCGATCAAGGATCTATGAGATTCACTGGAGAAGAAGTACAAGACCGAAGATGTTGGAACAAATAATTTCGTTGTCAGCAAGTTTTTGGACTTCAAAATGGTAGACTCCAAAATCGTGATAAGTCGAGTACAAGAACTTCAAGTTCTACTTCATGACGTACATGCCGAAAAGATAGAATTGAGTGAATCCTTCCAAGTTGTAGCCATCATTGAGAAATTCTCTCCTATATGGAGAGATTTCAAAACTATCTCAAGCACAAACGCAAGGAGATGAACTTGGAGGAATTGATGGTCTGTTTAAGGATTGAGAAAGACAATAGAAACACCGAAAGAAATCTTATTGTTCAACTTCGAGCAAATTTTGTTGAAAATGGATAGAAGGTTGTCAACAAGAAACGTAAGATCTCCAGTAATGCACTAAGAAGAGACAACTCCAAGAATGTCAAGAAATTAGAGGCAACTATTATAATTGTGGAAAAATCGGACATCGTTCTAACGAATGTCGAAAGTCGAAGAAAACTGCATAAGTAAATGTAGTTGAAAGAGAGACCCTTTCTGAAAGAGCTCAAGAGATAAGTCTATCTACAGTTGTTTCTAAATGCAACATGGTTTGTAACTCAAGAAATTGGCGGGTCGACACTGGTCCTACCCGCCATATTTGTGCAAATAAGACCACATTCTCAAACTATCATGAATTAAAAGGAGAGCAACTGTTCATGGGAAACTCTACAAGTTTGAAGGTTGAAGGACTTCGAAAGATCACATTGAAAATGACTTATGGGAAAGAACTAGTGCTCAATAATGTACTCCATGTGTCAGACATTCGCAAAAACCCGATTTCGGGGTCTCAACTTAGCAAGAACGGCTTTAAACCTGTATTTGTATCGAACAAGTTCATACTTACCAAAAATGATATGTATGTTGGTAAATGTTATCTTAGTGAAAAAATATTTGAAATGAACGTCCTTACAATTATACCAAAAGGCATTATGAATAAAAATTATAATTATATTTATATGCTT